TCAAAGACTCGAGGCTGTAGAAATCAACAGATGGAATCTGAAGAGGGAACTCTGTGTGTGTGTGTGTGTGTGTGTGTGTGTGTGTGTGTGTGTGTGTGTGTGTGTGTGTGTGTGTGTACTGAATATGTCATTGCTATTATTTTTGTTGTTCCTATATAATGTTCTGTTCATACTAGCATAAGAACTGTTTGTTTCATTGTTTGTTTCATTGTTTGTTTGATTGATTGATTGATTGATTGTTTGATTGATTGATTGATTGATTGTTTATCTAATTTCTTCTCACTACTCGTACTCGTAACGTCACTGAGGTAGAGGTGAGCGGATCGGCTCGATCCAAGAATTGAAAATGTTACCAACCTGATGGAGTTTGAAGCAGAACTCTGCAGGTGTTCAGCTCCAGAACTGTTCATCTTTGTTCCTTTCATCTCACATGTCCTGGTGACTGAAAATGTACAACAGACGATGCTAAATTAGCACTGGACCGTGTCAGTACCAACATGTTGGAGTCAATAAGTTTGTTTTACCTTCAGCTCAAAGCTTCGCTCCAATAATAAAATGTTAAACCAGAGAATCCATCAYGAGCTTAGATTAAATGTGAACACTGAACCTGATGAGCACGTCAGATAATCATTTATTCGCTTGTGATTGCACAATAATCACACAAGCTAATGAATGTAGCATGTGTGGCTACTTCCTCAAACAAATCCAGCTGTGTGATGTCACTTCCTTTGTGTATGGATCACCTCTGAACTTTGTTTTCCATCTCTGAGCTACAGCTCATACTGAAGTCTGAAGGAGGTTATGTTTTAATGGTAACCAGATTCACCACTGAACATATCTYATGTAAGASCTGCAGTGTGAACATYAGCCTTATTATTCACCACTTCCTGTTTCACGTCACGCCCTCTCCAAACCACTGGCTCCCCTAGAGGAGGAGAACCCTGTTTACATGGTGCAGCATGAGAGCCAACACTAGCATGCTAATATTACTGTTACCCATGCTAGTGGCTAGCCTCTCTGATGCTAATTTTATATATATTTTAATGATATTATATGTTTTATTAGTTTAATAAATGTTTTAATGATATTATATGTTTTATTAGTTTAATAAATGTTTTAATGATATTATATGTTTTATTTGATGATAAACTGTCCGGTTGTTAAGCTGCTGAAGAAAAGGCAGAGTGTCGCTGAGGAAACAGGAGGTTTTTCTGCAGACATGAGGAGCTGTGGCTGCTGAGGATGATGTTTTCTGACAGTGTTGGAGTGTGCACGTGCACGTGCACGTGCACGTGAATGTGCACATGCACGTGCACATTCACATGCACGTGCACGTGCTCTGTGTCTGAACGATGAAGACTTCTGGACACGGAGACGCTTTTCTTCCGCTCTGCTGCTGATCGATTACAGGGTCCAGATTACAGCATGACGGGCCGATCCGGGCCTGCAGGAGAACAGAACCTCCTCCACAGAGACAAGACCGAGACTAAAGACCATGTCCAAACCAGATCCTGGACCCACCCTGAGGGACTCCAGGAAAACCAGGACCTGATCAGAACCAGGAGTCCAACATGTGGACTCAGTAGACCCAGAACCTTCTCGTTTAGCTGAACGGCCAGAGGTTTGAACAGAGTCCATCTTTAGGACAGAGTCTGCTGAGAGACAGGGACAGACCAGCCCTCACCCTGTCTCTGGAGGACACCCAGGCCTGTGCAGGTTGGGAGTTGAACCTGCACCCTCCTGACTGTGAGGCGGCAGCTCTAACCACTGCACCACCGTGTGGCCCAGTGTCCAGACAGGAGACATGCAGCACAGATCAGCTGGTCCTCCTGAAGTGTCTCTGTCCTGGGGGGACGCCTGGTGGTCCAGCTGGACCAAAGACAGAGACGTTTCCATGGCAACAGGCTGAGGTTCACAACACAACACCAAGTGTGTGACTTCCTGCTGCGTGTGCGGTGATTCAGTTTGATTTAACCCTGTGTGGGTCCGGTCCAAACCGGGTCAGGATAAAGGTTCTGTTGGGTATGAAGGGTTCTGTCTCTGACCTCATATTAACATCCTGTCCTCCTCCTGTCCTCCTGTCCTCCTGTCCTCCTNTGGAGTGAGATTTTTAAGAGTGAGATCTACAGGAGTGAGACATGCCAGAGTGAGGTATGTAGGAGTAAGATTTGAATGAGTGACATTTGTAGGAGTGACATCTGTAGGGGTGAGACATGTTGGAGAGAGATTTGAATGAGTGACATCTGTAGCAGTGAGATTTGAAGGAGTGACATGCCAGAGTGAGGTTTGTAGGAGTGAGATCTGAAGGATTGACAACTGTAAGAGTGAGGCATGACAGAGTGGGCTTTGTAGGTGTGAGATTTGAAGGAGATTTGTAGGAGTGACATCTGTAGGGGTGAGACATGTTGGAGGGAAGTTTGTAGGAGTGAGGTATGTAGGAATAAGATTTGAATGAGTGACATCTGTAGGAGTGAAACACATTGGACTGAGGTTTTTAGGAGTGAGATCTGTAGGAGTGAGATCTAAAGGAGTGACATCTGTAAGAGGGAGACATACCAGAGTGAGGTTTGTAGGAGTGACATCTGTGGGAGTGACATCTGTAGGGGTGAGACGTGTTGGAGTGAAGTTTGTAGGGGTGAGATATGTCGAATAAGATTTGAATGAGTGACATCTGTAAAAGTGACATCTGTAAGAGTGAGACATGACAGAGTGGGCTTTGTAGGAGTGAGATTTGTAGGAGATTTGTAGGAGTGAGGCATGTTGTAGTGAAACAAGTTGGAGTGAGACATGTTGGAGGTGAGATTTATAGGAGTGACATCTGTAAGAGTGATGCATACCAGAGTGAGGTTTGTAGGAGTGACATCTGTAGGAGTGACATCAGAAGGAGTGAGTCATGCAGGACTAATGTTTTTAGGAGTGAAATCTATAGGAGTGAGATATGTTGGAGTGAGATCTGCAGGAGTGACATCTGTAGAGTGAGATTTGTAGGAGTGAGACATGCCAGAGTGAAATTTGTAGGAGTAAGACATGTAGGACTGAGGTTTTRAGGAGTGAGATCTGAAGGAGTGTGATCTTTAAGAGTGATATGTGTAGGAGAGAGATATGGAGGAGTAAGATGTGACCAGGTG